TATTATTAAAAACTGGATCATTGGATAAAGCGATACAAGACTTTTTATTGGCTTAGCCATTATGGTATATGAACCAACATACCATAATCTAATATCTGTACGTTGTAACATCTGGTTTCTTCTCACAAAATAAAGTCGAGAAGATTTGGCTAATATCTTTGGGGCGTTTTTTAAAATAAAACAATGATTCCACTCGCGCTTGTTGGATAGGAGATAACTATAGCCAACTCGGCGCTACGCCCCTCGTTGGCTATCTATCATCTCATATCCAACGCGCAATCGTGGAATAGTTGTTAATTATTCCATTTCAACCAGAGAGATTCTGAATCCAAATAAGTTCTTTCTACAAGGTTAGTGATTGATCTAAAAATCCTCAGTCTATAGCTTTAACTTGAGTCTAATGTTTCGTGCTTTTTTCACAGTGACAGCACCTTGTCAAGAGGCAGAGGATGATCTTGATTACAAGGCAGAGTCTGGTTACGTTCTAGTTATAAATAACTTCGTCTTTCCTAAGAGGCGAGATGTTTAACGCTATGGGTCACAGCAAGATGTGAAAAATCTTATTAGTCTCTTTGATGATTTCAACTTCAAAACCTGAATAGTGGAGAACATGAATCAAAGTCAAATGGTGGAAATACTCAGAAAAACCGCAGAGAAAGACTTCACCAAATATGATTGTTTTCTTTGCATAATCCTCAGCCATGGTCTTGACGATGGAATTTATGGAACTGATAAGGAGGTGATTAAAACTGAAGCAATCACTTCCTATTTTCACCGAGATGCATGTCCATCGCTTGAAGGGAAACCAAAGATATTTTTGATCTAAGCTTTCCGTGGCATTCAACAGGACAAGGTATCGATCGAGAGCGATAGTGAACCTGTTCCACATGCAGGGTCTCGTCCGCCAGCTGATGCTGATTTTCTTATTTGTTTTGCCTCTTCCCCTGGTCACCAATGTTACAGGTAGCATGAACTTGGATTTTATGCGCATGGCTAGGCGAAAAATGAGCCCTCCCCTCCCCCGCCATGTTTCAAAACGCTCCGTCACCTCTAACGTTATATAACGCTTACAAGAGATTACAACGACGGGAGCTCTCGTGATTTTCGCTTGTCCCAATGTGATGACCGTTTTAAAATGGCAAATTATTCTTTATTAAAAAAGACATCTCTTCGCAAGAGGTCAGGTTCTCCCATGATGTCACATGACACATTACATTACATAACATGACAAAACGCCGCACACTTTCCCGGCCTTTTTTTGAAAATATCCACTGGGACATTTGCTACAGCAATGTTCACTGTTCGCAATCCGTTTAACAAGAACGTTAATAAAAGTTCACTAAAGTAAATAAATCTTGGTGTATCAAGCGTGCATCGTTTGCATATAAGGGAAATACACCAAAGGGCCAGAACAGGGTAGTAGATGGTACTGATGCATAGGTAACGTCCTGGGTGGCTGAGAAGGTTGATAACACCATCTAGGTACAAGGTTTGAACCAGTATGGGCACTGCAGATCGTTGGTTGTCCCAGTGTGTTGCATGTGAACACTTCTGGTGGATGGCGAACACGCTGGTGTCTACTAGGGTTTTGATCTTCTTCCCACTCTGACCGTTGTTCTGGCTCCGGGTCCAATTCTGACTCTTGCTCTGGTTCAGGATTCAATTCTGGCGGTTTATTTGGTTCAGAGTTCAATTCTGGCTGTTGTTTTGTTTCGAGAGTCATGGCTAGATGAAGTTTCACCGCCGTCCCCCATACTCTCAGCATTGCCTCCTCTTCAGTGCATTCTGACTGTCCTGTCGTCGATGATAGAGGGGGTAATCTGTCCAAATCCCTGTGCAAAAGGCCGTGTAGCATTTTAGAATGTAGAATTTAATTCATTCGCCACGGGAATGGCAGGAGAAAGGAACAGGACTTTTGTCCCAATTGACAGCTAACCCCTTTGTACCCACCAACCCACCCCAGGGGAGGACATCCATCACACAGTAATCTCGTGCGTGGGAAATTAACGTCTCCTACCCCCAACCCTGCAGGAGACGGGACCTCCATTTATTCGTCCCTATCCGAGAAGACTAGAATATCTAACCATTTCTTGATGTTATAGAAAGGTAGCAAATTCTTCTCAATTATTTTAAGACCTTGAGTGTTGGTCCGGCCGGGGCTGGAACCCTCGACCTCCCACACAACAGCCCAGCACACTATCCATTATGCTAACTTGGCGGCGGTTAGGATAGGTCCTCCTCCTCCCAATCTCCACTGCCACTCTCATTATGTCCTCTAGTATGAGCATAGATTCTCGTCCCTCGAATTGATTGGCACAGACTCATGAATCTCAGCGATGAGGAAGTCACATGGCAGTAGGAGATTTCTGTGTAGTACCGTCGACTTGTCTGGCTGTCCTTCTGGGCTTACCTTGTAGATCGGTAGGTCTTTTTTCTGCTCAAGTACGACATGTATTTTCTGTTCCCAATACGACCGGAGTTTCCCTGGTCCACTGCACTCGGACAAATTTTGGACCAGCACCCTATCCCCGGGTTGCAACTTTGAAAATCTCACCTTGCGGTCATACTGTTGTTTGCCAGTAGTTGCATGCTTCGAGATGTTCTTTAGAGCCAGTGAATATGCTCCTTCATAGCAAACTTCCATTTGGCTACATATTCTGTGTGAGTGGCGCTAGCCTCTTCCATTGAAGATCCAAATATCAGATCTACTGGCAGACGTGGTGATCTCCCAAATAATAAACGAAACGGCGGATACCCAGTTGAATCACTCTTGGTACAGTTGTTGGCATGTAAAACCTTGGACACACTGACCACTTGCATTTCTTTTTTTCAGGTAGGGTTTTTAACATTGACAGCAAGGTCTGATTGAATCTCTCTGCTTTACCATCACACTGTGGATTCTGGAACGTATCATCCCACACGACTGCCGTAAGCGGCAAAACAACTTGTTCTAAAACTCTCTTCCCTGATCATGCAAAATAAGAGCTGGAAATCGGAATCGGAGCTTGAATTCGATGTGGAGTCTGTCGGCTGCTGTACGAGCTCATTTATTTCTGGTGAGATACGCCTGTGCAAATCGAGTGAAGTGGTGAACAATTACCAGAATGTATTCATGTCCACCAGAGCTTCTTTCAAGATGCAAGTAGTCAATAGATACCAACTCAAAGGGTGCATTAGTCACAATAGGTGGGAGAGGGGCACGCTTTGGAAGATTTCGTCGCTTTTGCTTCAGGAAACTGCACATCCGGGTCACAAAGTGCGTAATATCTATCTGCATGTGGGGCCAGTAATACCGTTCACGGGCTAGCTGAAGTACCCTCTCTGTTCCCAAGTGGCCCATCTCTTGTTGTAGTTCCTTGTAGACCAAGCGGTGAAACTGCTTTGGTAACACTAGCTGTAAATTCTGTCCACTCTCTCTTAGTAGCAGTCCATCGCTTCCAATTTTCAATTCAGGCCATATACGTAGCAATTTTCTTGTAGACGGAGATTCTTTAGCAATTTCATGTATTGTTGGTTTCCGGCCATTCAATTTGCATGTTAGAACTCTGCCAATTCTGGGGTCTTGTTCCTGGATCGCCAGGATGACTTGAGGCTCGATTTTATGGTAATTTCTGGAATCGATAAGATCAGATTCCAGGTTCAATGCATCCGTTCCACCACTGACTGCTGTTATCCCAACTACATTGCCATTCTGACGTGCCATTACACCGGACAGAACTGCGCTGATCACATCCTGGGAAGTTTCTTGTGTACAGGAAGGAATGTACTGGTTCATGTCCAAAGGGAGTGTGGACAAAGTGTCAGCATCCTTATTCACTTTTCCAGGCCTGTACTTGATCTCAAAATTGAAATCGGCCAGTTCTGATACCCAGCGATGTCCCGTTGAATTAAGTTTTGCTGTTGATAAAACATAGGTCAGAGGATTATTAGCCGTGGGAACTATGAAGGACGGTGCATAGCACAGATACTCCCTAAACTGCTCACAGACGGCCCACTTCAAAGCCAAGAACTGTAACTTTCCGGAGTGGAGGTGATAATTTTTCTCTGCAGTGGCTAGGGTTCTGGATCCATAGCCTATAACCCGCATTTTACCGGACTGTCGCTGATAAAGTACTGCTCCAAGTCCTTCATTGGATGCGTCAGTGTGTAGGATAAATGGAAGACCATAATATGGACATCCGAGAATTGGAGGGTTAGTCAAGCAGTCAACAAGTTTTTCCAATACTCCTTGATGTTCCTGTGTCCAAACAATAGCATGACTGAAATGTGCTTGTGTACCATTCCCTTTCCGACTTCGTTTTCCTGTTTGGATAAGACGCTTCTTGGTCTTAATCAAGGGTGTCTTCAAGGGTTCGAAAAGAGGATGGGTAATTTTGGAGAAATCCTGTATGTACCTTCGGTAATATCCTAATAAACCCAGGAGTTTTCTCAGATCACCAACGGTCTTTGATTGCCAACACTGCCTTAACATTTGTGGGATCCACCCAATATCCATCAGCAGAGACAATTCTTCCCAAGTAGTTAGCCTCCTTGAACATATTGCATTTTTTTGCTTTCAGCTTTATTCCGTGTTCACGTAGCCTCCTCAGCACTGTTCGCACATTTTGGATGTGCTCATCAAAGGTTCTGCTGAAGACAATCGCGTCGTCTAAGTAAGGTACAAAAATTCCTATTTAAACTCACGACTCATACACAAGAGTGGGTGTGCAGCTCGAACTAGGAGTCCGAGTATTTAATGCCGTCCGACAAAGTTACACAGAGTGGTAAACAACTAGTCATCACCTCTCGGGCTAAAACGTTTAGTTTGCCGCCGCCTGATACGAAAACCCAAAAACCCACTGGGGAAAATGGGAACGTATTTCCCATCTAAATGCAGGCGCACCGACCTCTGGGGGTTAGAGGTAAAACAGCTTATTTACATGCAAGATAAAATTAAACATAAAACTAAAAAAGCTCAAGAGCTGAGATGAATACATTACAAATGTCAAACCTTTAAAAATACACCATACAACAAAAGACTCAATTAACGCCATAGCGGCCCACGTGCTAACATACCAATAGGAAAAGATTTACATTTTTTGTCACTGCCACTTACAGTCTAGTTCCGCCGAAAGTAAATACATTTTCATCTCTAAGGCCTTCCCGGACAGTTCTCCATAAATCTTTGAAACTCTCCTGGGGCATTCCGGAGACCAAATGGAATCCTCACCCACTCGTACAGGCCCCAAATGCAGTCATGTGTTGACATTCAGGGTTAACAAATTCCTTATGGTAGGCTTTTCCTTGGTCCAACAGAGAAAACCAATTGTTCCCACTAAGATTCTCAATGGCTGTTTGTACCCGGGGGAGTGGATGGCTGTCAGGCACTGTTCTCCTGTTCAACTCACGAAAATCCACGCACAGTCTCAGAGAACCGTCCTTTTCCCATACACAAACTACTGGTGATGAATAGGCTGAGCGTGACTTCCGCACCCATCCGCGATTGAGTAAGTCTTCAACATATTCTTTCACTTCAGATTATAGAGGTTTTGGAATAGATGTATAGTTTTTCTGAGCTGGACGATTATCTGACAAATTGATCTTAAGTTGCAGACCTTCACCGTATCCTACATCATCGTCATCTTTCGAAAAAGACTCCCTCTCCTCTCTAAACATGGTCGCTACTGCAATTTTCTGGTCTTCTGTCAAGTCTACCAAGTCAACATCTGGAGTTAGATTGCTAGCCTCGCCTAGACATCCCTTTATGACAGGTGTATTTGATTGTGATCTGACTTCTTCTCCCTCTTCTGATGCGTTGTTGGCAGGACAAATGCAGTCTGCTGATCTTCCGTCATTCCCTTTCTTTCTTACTTCCAGTGGCGTTACAGATTTGAGTAGTTCAAGCTTGCCCTGTATTGTCCTTTTCCTTAAGGTAATGTCGTGGTCTGTGGTATTCTTGACTTGAATTCTGATACGCGAGGGAGTACC